TCTAAACCATATTAATGCAGCCAAAAGACGATTTCTTGGATTAAGCAAGGTTGGTCGAATACGCCTTGGTAGACCTACATGCTGCAACCTGGGGTCTCTTGGTTGGATAATCCAAGGATATGCTGTCTGATATAGTCCTTCAAACGTCTCTGGCGTCTCACCAGTCAGATGTTGAGTAGCTCGGACCATACGTCATTTCCTCTTCGCCTGTGCCCTCTGAAATCTGGAAGTAGTCTTTCTAACGCGTCTAGCTCCTCTCCAACATCTCCACAAACAAGAAGCATCGTGGATAATAAACTGAAGTCCAATATTTCTTCTGCTCGTACACGGCAAGACCTCAGAGTCAAGGCATAGGCATAAAGCATATTTGGTTCTTCACACTATTGATGGTCGGCAGTGCCGAACAGCATCAATATTTTCAAAAATGACAATATAAACCAATAAAATGCGTATTTGCGTAACATATTGCACTCAAAAAAAAACCAGTACGCACCCTATAGTACAAAGTGCTATATCTTAACAAAGAAAACCACATTCCACTTCCAATTCATTCCACATTTCAATTTTTGTAAGTGTGTTTGAAAATATTAGTAAAAATGCGCGCCCTTGAGTAGCACATGTACACTAGCATACCCGTCATGGCTCGCCTATTTTAATTAGACTTAGGCAACCAAAGGTTAGTATTTAGTTAGCTAGCTATCTATTTCACGGGTATGTTATTTGCACTCTATCATTTTGTAATTAGTTCTATAGTTTTTGAAGTTGACAATTATCAACACCTTCAAATTTACAGTGCGATTTTCACAAATACGCCTAAGGGAACTCTATGAAAATATAGGCAGCAATGGTTTGAAATATAAATATTTGTTGTGATTCTGGAGAACACAAACTTTATGCTCGGTCGCACGTTTATATCTAATGCATTATCATGAACAATAACTATTGTTTTCACAAATTCATTAACTTCCGAACACCACCTCACAATCGAAGCATAGTTAATATTAACTATGATCGAAGTGATAAATATGTCGATCACCTCAAACTGCAGCTTCAAAATGCACTGCAATGCCAGCTTAATCCAGTTTCATTTTTCTCAACCTCCGAACGGCTAATAAAGTGCTAGTCAAACAAAAGTCATATCATGATCAAGCTATATGATAATTATATTTTCACCTATTACAAAAGAGGTTGTCATCGCCCAAGGCAATAGCGCAGCGCAACCGTGACGTCATAAAAACGAAGACAAAGGCGAAATTCGGACAAACAAACTTACAAGTTTACTTATAACAGATAATTTTCACAGCCGATCGCAGTTGATCTTAGTTTACATGGGTTATTATTGTAACTTTAAGTAAAAACAATAAAATCGGTTCGTATAATCCTCGTAGCGGTTAAACAGAATGACCCAGGTCCCATATGAAATCATTTTTTTGACCTTATCCTTTTATCCTAAGATAATACATACCTTAATAATTCTTTCATCTTCTAAGACGTCGTCGACCATTTTCTTGGTATTTTCTATGTAGACTTCGAGTCTTGTTTTGAGGCGATCCTCTTCGCCTTCTACTCCTGTAAGTTGTTCTTTGGCTCGTGTGCTCATCTCTCCCTCTGTGCTGTCGAGGACGATCACGTGACTAAAGTCTGACACCTGCCAATCAAAGTCACATCACCATGGTTACCATCTGTCAGTGCTTCGAAACACATTGCCAACGCATAGAGTAGTTTTCGTACGACTATGAAAAAATCGGTCCCGTACTCGTGCCTTGCCATGACCATGATATTTTCTAGAATTTTGATTGGGGGATTTTGTTCTCGCGCAATGTGATAGGTGGGACATTGTCGTGATCTTGCCATGACTGTGTCCGCACCGTGTTCATGCCGTGTTTTGGGCATTTGATTGGATGGCGAGTAAATTCTCGTATGCCTTGCCATGTCATGACTGTGTTTGTGCAGTGAGCTTTTCACAGTCATACGAAAACTGCACTATGGTAAGGTACGGTACGGCTACGAATGTGTACTGATCGTGTCCCACTCATACGAAAATCTCTCCAGTCTCGCCCGGCGTATTAGATTCGTGCTTACCCTCTCAGTGAAGTTTTTCAGCTGTTCTTCCGTTCTTGGAAAGCCGTCAATAACATATCCTGTAAAGTTCTTTTCCTCGTGTGTAAGTTTCTCGGTTAGAACCGCCAGCACGTGCTCCTATCAACCAAATGTGACATGGTTAAAATAAATAGATCACCAATTGGTGGGTGATAGATATCTTTACTAGTTTTCACACACAAGAAACCCGTCCTCTTATCTTCAGTTTTTCTTACCAAATGTTACTAGGATAGAGAAAGCTTGGGCGCAATTATTTCTCATTTCAGACTACGTGTATCATTTCTTTACTTAACGGTTGTGCACGAGAAGACACATGAATATGGATACAACTCAAACAAAGAATCTTATTCTCAAGAGAATGACATGTGGTCTGAAATGGGAAAACATCACCCAAGCTAAAAAGATCTTTTAGCCATTCCGAGTTTGAGGGAAAAAACTGGGACGAGTTTGTACTGCAGTGCATTGTGGTACTGTTCTGGGGGACATATTTCTAAGATGGCGTCTATTTCATCCAATAAAACGGTCCCGCAATTTCTTTTCATCCTAGTGCTGCCCTGCATGCCAGCAGGCATAATACCGGGGCAGTAAGTAAATAAACAATTTCACTGCAACCTAGATGCTCTTCTCTTACCGCCGAGACAAGCGTCCCAACTGAAACGGCACTAGCGACTTCTTTCCCTCTATCTGTGTCATTACTTGCTTCTGCTCGCAATAGCTGTCCAACCGAGATGTGCGTACGACCTGACTTTTCTGTCAACAGCTTACACAACTCTGATCTACCTGTACCTGGACCCCCTACCGAGAATACATTAAGGTCGTTAGTTTAGGCCACGTTAGAGATACTAAATTTCTAGCACGGCGATACTGATGCCTTCTGGAATGAAATGTTCAAAATTGCATTAAACTTCAAAAGGATAGGTAAATATAGTGAAGAAGATTCGATTATAACGTTATTTTCTATAGGTTGCTATCAATAGACGTCACTTCCGGTAATAGCTCTTTTTTGATGGCTTGTAGAATCCTGGAGGTTGTTTTGATCTCTTGTTTTCTGGTTTCATGTCGTGAAAATAGTCAAATACAATAGTTTGAGGACTTATTTTGATATGTTTTGACTTAGCATCCGCTAGTTGCCCCCCAGTCAACCGCTTGTTTGCCCCCCAGTCAACTCCAAAAAGTCACGTGATTGATAGTCTGAGCAATAGGGTATTTTTTTATATTTCTTTTGAGCCAACCACGAAAGACGTTTCCATTCATTCGACCCAACAAATGTTGGCGTCAAATATTTGGCTTGTTTGTCAGGGACGTTTTGCGTTTCATTGACGGCAGTCAAGTTTATCAAGTTTGTCAAGTTAAAATGAGAATGAGAAGCCAGAGATAGATAAGGGAGATGCTATATTAGAAGTAAAATTGAACTGGACATCTCACCAATTACAAACACGATTTCAAAGTCGTGAATCGTAGCTGCTTTTCTGGACGGAAGGGACTCAAAGATTTTCGACACCTCTTCAAATACGTCGTCTACATTTCCTTCAGCAGAGATCTGCAAACAAAGCAGCTAGTTTGGTGATATTTACACCATTTAAATGTTTATAAAAATGTCGAAAATATGAAATTGCAGATATCATAGCAAAGAAACGCCACCTTTATATACCCTTTAAATATGGTCAAGGATACTCTTAAATACGGTCATTTGAAAAAGGGATACTCTTAAATATGGTCATTTGAAAAAGGGATACTCTTAAATACGGCCAAGGATACTCTTTAAAATGGTCAAGGATACCCTTAAAAATGGTCAAGGATACCCTTAAATATAAATTCTGAATTGTACTCGATATCGTGATATACTTATACAACACCTTTTTGACTTTCCCTTCTTCTTCATAATGTTGTATGACCGGCAGAGTCTGCTCTTCGAACACTCCCAGCCGACTGCTGATCGTCTCTTCGTTGTCATCTGCTCTATCCCCAGTCTCTCCTCGTTTCAGCAGCCTCGCCTTCATGGTGTTAGACGAGCACTCAAAATACAACAAAAACTCACMGGGTGCGAGCTGAGAAGCATGAAAAACAACGGTTCATTGTCAAGTTTTATTCCGCGCATTGAGAGTTTTCCTTTGGGTTTTCTAGTTTTCTTCCCAAATTCCAAATCAATCTGAAATCGAGTGCACTATCCACATAAAATACCTTGCCATCCTAGTAGTCAGTATTGGAGAGTATAGAACACTTAGAATAATGTGGTGATACACTGATCAAGAGAGGTCGAAGGGAAGGGAGGGTGGAAGCTTTTAGTAAAACACCATATAAAGCGTATTGAGAAAAAAACTTACATCTAAGACAGGATGGGAATTGGCTTATGTCTCCCCCTCCCCTGGGGGTAAGATTGTCTCCCCCTCCCCTGGGAGTTAAGATATTCTCCCCCTCCCCTCGGGGTTAAAATTGAGCTATACAGCTGATTATTAATGATGCCTACCTCCTTCTCGAACTCAAGTCCCTGGTCTAACTCCCTTGGAAATCCATCCACAAGAAAGCCTTTGGTGTTGGGCTGCTTCACCATGGTTTGACGTAACAGCTCAAGAATAATACCCTACAGTAGAAAAAAAGTCACACAACCTAGTCAGTCTGTGCAATATGTAGACACCAAGAGGTTGTTTCAGAGTTCGAGCATCGCAGTAGAAGTAGGAAGGTTTACACTTACATTGGGTACTAGTTCACCCTTCTCCATTATTTCTGCAATAGTTTTTCCTCGAGTTGACTCAGATTGCACCTCGTTCCTCAGGAGATCTCCGGTGGATAGATGTGTGTACCCAAACTTATCAACAATACGTGCACACTGGGTTCCTTTACCCGAACCAGGCCCTCCTGGTGAGAGAGGTATACAGTTGCCTTAAAAACGTGATTCGCTACTCTATAAGTAACAGATAGACAAACAGATGGACAGACGGACAGATAGACAGACAGCTAAATATTACATGGGAAAAGCTTAGAAGGTTGGACACACGGTGCCATTGTGTGCAACATTAATGACGGCAGAAAAGACAAACATGGTATCTGTTCCTGACGATGACGATAAAATGTTGTGCGGAATGTTACAAAAGTAAACTTGATTTTTACTTCTTCTACTTTGTCATCACTGTTATGCGCACGCAAGAGTTCCAGCGTGTGTTGAAGGCCTAAGATATCAAAGCGCACCGATACTAACCAATAACAAAGATGACCCTAGCGTTCAACAGTCCTTTCCCCGTCTTCGCAATCTCATCGTCATTCAAAGGAATGAACTCTTCTGCCACCACGGTTTCCTCGTAGACAGGAGTCTTCGGTTGTTCTTCTGTCTTCTTCTTCCTCTTGTATCGTCTTTTCTTGAACCCTTTCCCTTCCATGGCACGACCAAGATCTTCGACTAGTTCTCCGAACTCATCGTTACTGGAATCACCGCCTTTGCTTCCTGTCATGAAAGACAACGGAGATTAAGGAGAATAGATCATTTAAAGTATGTTTTTTGTGAAAAGATTACGGCAAATTCGTAGTCGTACCGTAGATAGCCGTACCGTATCTTAAGCGTTGTTATTGGATGAAATACTGGCAGACAATAGGAAGCGATTTCGATGTTACGGCAAGTCGTACCGTGTACTCGAGTAGGTCAGTACCGTATATTTTCCCACTCATACGATACCAGTCGACGCATTGGACTTGCCTGCGACTTGATAAAAAGTAAATTCAATTGCCACAGGCAGCCCAATATGTCGTTATATCCTGAATTTCAAAACCCATGCGCACCTTTCTTTTTCCTGCGCTCAAGTTTTGGAAGAACTCCAAATATCGCACACACGTCTTGGAAAACCTCGTCAACGGTACGATTTGCATCAAGCTGAAAAATAATAAATATAGGCCGATTAGTAATACTCCAGTTTCGAGTTCTATGTTGCTCAGGGTTAGCTTCGATTTTGAGCAGAATATTCACGTGTTCCATTGAAGGCCGTCGAGTTTCAAAGCGTTTGTATCGTTGACGTTGTGCATTCTTTACTTTACCGTTAGTATTTGTGAATATGTTAACACTGATACGAGGCTAACCCTGAGGAAATGAGTCTGTAATCAAGGAACACAGCTGTAATTTGGAACTTGAAAAAGGTCTCTTTAGCTAGCATATAAACTTCATGAGCATTTCACAAAGAAATAAAATAAGATACAATAACTAATTTTTTCTTCTATTTGCGTTCATAATAATAACTTTCACATTTTTGATATTTTCCAAAAATTAATTTAATGTGGTTTGTGAAATAAATAGAATTTATGGAATTTTTAGATTTAAAATAACTTTCTATGTAATGTTGCTCGTAAGTAAAGAAACAATCTACAAGAGAAGGAAAAAACATGGTCTTACTTGGGGAAAACATATTCTATACTACTATTAAAAAGGTCATATTTATTTCTAATTCCTTATATACCCTTTTCAGCTTCCCCTGCTTTTCAACGTGCTCAATAACAGGCATTGTCTTTTCCATGAATGTCTGGAATCGTTTCTTTATTGTTTCTGCGTTATCATCCTCGCGGCCACTCGTTTCACCTCGTTTCAAGAGTCGTTTTTCCATCACTTCTTCACTGCACTCAAAGAACAGTGTGAAATGGCTCTCGACGATCTTAAACTATTAAAGTTGGCCTCGCAAATAAATTTGTTTCATTCACACAAGGAGAGAGTATTTTTACTTTATCATAAGACTTTCTCGAAGAGGCAGTTTCACGAGGCCATCTGGTAACTATATAACACAGCGCAATTCCTCATGAATCTCACAATACCGACACACACAAGTGTCACAGATAAACATTTTTTGCGTCTGACTGCGGCTTTATACAGGAAAACGTAAAGCTAAAGACACAAGGTACAACATGTTGCAGGTAATTAATGTTGCGAGCCATCTCACACGACGCAATTTGTTGCACACCGGTTTCTAAAGTAGAAAACGATCTTACTTTAGCAACATTGCCGGTAATATTGCGCGCAATGTTGCACCGTGTCCGTAGCTTAATTCTTGGATTCATTTGTAGAAGTAAATAATTATTTACCAAGGACGAAGACGATGCGTTGTCCACTGAAATCCTCCCATTCTTCTTCCTCCTGTTCTTTGCTTTGCACAACTTTCTTCTTTTTTCGTCGGACAGTTTTCTTGACTTTTGGCGGCAGTCCATCAAATATTCGACAAACATCCATGCATACCTCGTCAACACTTCGATTAGCGTCGATCTGTAAAGCAAAGGGAAGGAAATATAAAATGTATTCAGTCTCTAAATAGTTGGTTCATTTGTAATCATTCCCAAGAGAATGAAAAATCAATATATATCAGACTAAGTTACGAGAAAGCATTCGTCGCATACGTAATCTCCCTTCCTTCGACGCGCAAAGCAACGAAAAATTGCGCGCATTCTGGCGCATCTGGCTTTCGGATTGTGCGTCTTCTATCCCAAATTCAATCAAAAATATATTGAATTTTTTTAAAGGGAACAAAAGAGGAGAGGTGGTCGACTCGATCTCTTTTTCGCTTCCATGTGGGTTATGCGGTAAAGCATGGCCCCGTGTTCTACTTAGTGCATGGGTGTTTGACGTTCACCATATAGCCTATAGCCTACGGTTTTTTCTTTAACTTTTTACCCCACATCAAAGAATAAAATGAAAAAAATTACAAGTAGATGAGAGAYGGTTTAGCATCCTAGAGAAGATAGGCAACTTCAAACACCAGATCTAAGGTGACAATCCTTACCCTATGTGCTTTCCCTTGTGTTTCATAATGCTCGATAACAGGCAACGTCTTCTCTACGAACGTTGTGAATCTTTTCTTGATCGTTTCAAGATTATCGTCAACGCGACCGCTTGTCTCAGCTCGTTTGAGTAATCTTTCTTGCATGACTTCCTCGGTGCACTCCAAGGACAGCACAAAATCACTGTCCACAACCTGAGAAAATGAATGATTTTTTTCTAATTTATTCATATATTCATGATTCAATCATCCATTTATAAGTTCTTATCTTTGTTTAGTCAGAGGTCCATCTATCTATGATTTTCATTTATCCTTTTGAAGGTTCATTTGTTCACTCATTTTTCCATCCACCCATCCATCTATCTATTCATTATAATTCCTCTACTCATTTTCCTGGGGGTGATGGGACGAGGAGAGTACACATAAAGCATCTCTTTCCAAATAAGGTTATGAACCTTACCTCTCGCTCAAATTGTTCTCCCTGACTTATCTCTCTAGGAAACCCATCAATCAAGAACCCAGGTGCATCAGTATGCTCTCGCATGGCATCTCGTAAAAGGGCTATGGTAATCTCCTGGGGAACCAGCTTGCCGTCCGCCATTACTTCTTGGATCATATGGCCTCGTTCGTTACCCTTAGATACCTCATTTCTCAAGAGATTGCCAGCAGAGAGGTGACAATAGTTGTATTTCTTGACAATATGATCACAAATTGTTCCTTTGCCAGCTCCTGGGCCACCTGACAACAAATGATATCTATGTCATTATCTTTACAATGAGAATGCTCAAACATCAGTTACAGTGGAGATAGGGTAGGGAGGGACTTTTTATGAGAATTACATTTTCATTTTGTCTAGGAAAAAGAAAAGAAGTTCACCTCAAAATATGGAGGGGAGGGGAGGCCTGCAGCCTCCCCCCCTTCATTTTAAAAACTGTTACCCTTTCCCTGACCATAAATACTTTGAATTTTTTTCAAGTTATTTCTTCCTGAGCTTTCTACTTTTTCAAACTCTGTAAAATGAAGCATTGAGTTCAAATACTCAGAGAGATCAAAATAAATCTAATTTCTTTCAAAAAAGTGGCAAAACCTAGAATTTTTCACTGTTCGAGTGTCTTTGCTGTAAGTGAAGGACAAACACTCCCCTTAATAATAAATTATCCATAACATTATCTGGTAGAGACCCCTTACAAGACCATAAAACAATGTGTATTGATAGTAATCTATACTTCCTTGTGTAAATAAAAGCAAAGCATATCAAAATAAAATGACAGTGATTAATTTTAATGAATAAAATCTAAAATTAATTCAAGGCAGTCCATTTGCTAGCAAATAGTATGATCATAATGCCATCAAAACCTGTTATTGCTTTGTGTATCTCTACCGAGCAGTAACGTTTAACCTTTTCCATGCTAACTATGATGGAATAAAACCTCTAGCAGGAGGCAAGAGGGGTTGATTTGTGTTAATGTAAGGTCCAATAAGGCAATTCAATGACTTAGGATTACTACCCTTTAATGCAGTCAAATCATAATATTCACCTCAACAAACTGTAGTTAAATTGCTGATTTATCTTTATTTTAACTAAATTTGTCATTTTGAGGAATTTTCAAGTTGGAAAATCCGGAATCGTATCCTGGAATGGCCCATGGATTGGACTTCGGTAAGGTGGATCTCCGGATCGAAACACTTTAAAAACCGCTTTTTTTGCTAAAAATTCTATGAATATATGTTAACTAGCTATTAAAACATATTTAAGCAAAGAAATAAAAATGAATAACTGATTTTTAACATTCTAACATCCATCCAGTTTACCAGTGTCCAGTCCAAGTTTCCATTCCAGTTCACCATTTCCATGCTTTTTTGCTTTTATTTACTTAGTGTAAATACTATTACGCCTGACATAGTTTTCTTGCTTCAATTTTAGACCTTGGACTTGACATGATGTGCAATGTATTTGTCTGTGCACTTTTGGAGGTGGGGAGGGGAGGGAGGGGAAAGGAGTGGACCCACTTCCAGCCAATATTCAATAAAGGATAGTAGAAAATCCTGGTTAAATTTCTACCAACATCTTCCCTTTCCTTTCCTCCCCCACATTTTCTCCAAAAAGAAAAAAAGAAAAAAAGAATCAAATGCTTACCTAAGACATAAACAATCCTTTGGCCTGAAAACTCAACTTCCACTTCTTCTTCTTCTTCGGAATCCTCCGGAGTAATAATATTTTTTTCGGTCAAATCTTTTTCATCATCAAGGTCAATACTATGACCCTGCATGCCAATTGGAGGAAGAGGTGGCTTGGTCTTTATCTCGGCACCTGGTTCAGTTTGAAATGTATGCAAATCTTGTCCCTCAGATCGAAGTGGTCCATCACCCTTAGGTATGGGTGGAAGAGGCTTCTTGTCCAGGTCCAGAAAAGTATTCCATTTTATGTTATTCTTTTCATTTTTGGCAACAGAAATACATTGCTCCAAGTATGCTAGGTGATCTTCTGGTTTGTGATACAAAAGTCCAGTCAGCATTCCCTAGAAAATTCAATCACAATAGAGCAATTAATAGATTCATAACCAAAAGGTTGAAGGCACTATTAGTCTGAGTAAAAATTCAATATATATATATATATATATATATATATATATACACGTATTTAAACCAGATTTTTTATTCAATATTTGGTGCTCATAGACTTGCAGTATACCATTGATAGCGGAGATACTAAATATAATAGCCAAGGAATTGTAGAAAATAGAAACAAAAAAACATAATGGAATACTGTTATATGTAGACATATGGGATTTTACGAATTTTTTGTCACTTTGACACTAACTCCACACTTCAAAAGCAAACAAGACGTGAGTGTGGAAGTATCTTCCAACTGGAGAAATTGTCTGTTGGAAAATATCTTGTTAACTCGTAAACTTGGAGAGGTATAATCTAGAATTCTGAATAAGAATACGTAGCGTGTGTCGAGTAAGAGCGAGTAAGAGAAAACAAATCTGAAAAGCTGCATAAACTCATAAATAAAATCGAAAAAATAGATTAAGACCTTCCCATGTGGTACACTGTATTTACCTCGAGTTGAATGGTTTATTAAAAAAAGTAATAAAATAAAACTACCTTTCTAGATGTAGATCTTAAACAGCTAGTCAATGTGTAAATCATAATCATAAAAGAGAATTTCCAAATGGAAAAAATGATTTCGAACATTAAATTTAATATAATTAATATTTTCGAAGACGCATGGTGTTCGAAAATGATCCGAAAATAATATTTCCAAAACAGCAGTGTGGTTTATTCGCCTCGCTCGTTGAGTGGTGACTTGAATTACAGTAAAAATCAAATATTGGTATCGTATTTAATCTACAAAGCATTGCAGCTCTTGAGGACAGGAAAAGTTAGGTCTTGAGATGTTTTTATTTGGAGAATAACAACAAAATCTAATTGTAACATTCAAAGGTTCAGATACCCTAGAAATAAGCTCTCTTTAGGACTTACCTCGAATAACTGATGGACCTCTGTCTTCGCCATATATTCTTTACTGTCTTCTGAAGTCATTTTTAAAGGATATTTATATATTTATACCCATAAATATCAGCTGTATAAAAATCGTGTGACTAGTAAAGTAGGTACACGAACCCTTTGATAAATAATATCAAGTATATAGCCCTTATCGTCTCTATGGCAACAGGGGTTCCGATACCCCTCCGGTACCCCTCCGATTGGTCACGACGACATTACGATAAACTCATGTGTATAAAAAATCCTACGATCTTAATCTAAATAATTACAACCTTTTTAGCTAAGATAAAAGTACTCATTAGAGTTGAATTTTTTTTATAAAAATAAAATTAATATCAAATAGAGATAATAATACTTATGATGTTTGCTCTCGGCTGTCTATCGCGATTACCTCGGGATTGTCTCGGAATTGTATTTCCGATTTACCCACTAGTCTTCGCGGTTCCTCAAGATCCAAGATGGCGGCCTTCAGGTTGTTGTTTTTGTGTCTTGCAATATCTTTATCAGGTTTTTCTAACGTTTTAGGAGAAGAAAGAGTACCGTTAGATAATGTATTTAAAAGAGGACATACTAATAACTGGGCTGTCTTGGTAGGTAGACGATAGCTTTGATTTTTCCAATTTTCTTTCATAGTTTTATAAATCCTGTGCTTGCTTTATTTTTTACTAAAGGTTTGTACTTCTCGATTCTGGTTCAACTATCGTCATGTTGCTAATGTGCTGTCAGTTTATCGTAGTGTGAAGAGACTAGGTATTCCTGACAGGTAAGTAACATCTACAGCACCCAACCCTATGAGCTCACACACCTTTACAGCTGGGTCTGTGCTGTCATGGCCATGATTGTGTTTTGCCAAGCCCTCTTCCACAATGCAGATCATGATAGTCATATTTTTTGCTTCTAGTCACATTATCCTGATGACAGCTGATGATATGGCTTGTAATGCTAGAAACCCAAGACCAGGTTTGTATGATGTCTTATCATCATCATCATCATCACCATCATGAGCATTAGAATCACAGTCAGCATATTTAAGCATCATCATCAACATCAAAGATTATCATATTTATTATATTCACCATGGTTATTATCAATATCAAAACATCATCATCATTTTATCACCACCATCTACACCATTCAACATCTTCATCATCTATAGACAACAGATTGTGAGCCGTCCCTTTGTTTTTCCTTGTTCATCCATATATGATCTATATTAATTACCTGTTATTTTTGTACATTTACAGCTTGTTTAATATTGTTTTATTTATTGTGGTACAGGGACTGTTTTTAATAATGTCAATCAACACATCAATCTCTATGGCGACGACGTAGAAGTTGATTATAGAGGATACGATGTAAGTTCTCCAACACACAAAATAATATTTTCCTTTTTAATTCATGTAAAGCCCTAAATAAAATGAATATATTGATATATCTTGCAAGTTTTCTATTTTTTGATTAATGTATCTACTGTTACAGTGTATCATGCAAAAGTATGACCACGTTTAATGTATTTGCACATCACTTCTATGCACAGGCTTTTTGCTGCCAGACGAGCATTTCCACGCCTTTTCTGAAAAATACAGCCAACTTCCCATCAAAATGTGTCAATTAAATGTACAAAAGCCTTTGCATAGAAGTATGCATATACATTAAATGTAGTCATACTCTTGCACGTTGTGGTGTAATGCATCTATTTTGTTTTCCATTGACAGGTAACAGCTGAAAATTTCATTAGAATATTAACAGGTTTGTCTCAATATGTTTATTTGTGTGTCATTACTCACTGCATGTTGTCAGATAAGAAAAAACTTACAAAAACATTTTCGTATGATTCGATTAGGACGTCTGCCTGAAAGTGTTCCAAGGTCCAAGAGATTGCTGTCTGATGAAAGAAGCAACATACTCATTTATATGACAGGTGTTGTAGCAATATAGTTATAGTGGATTATCATTATCTCGAACCAGGAGAATAGCCATGATTTTCCAAAGGGGGAGGCCCAAGTTCAAAATACTGACATTTTGTTTGAGCAATAATGGGACTCCACTGCAGTTCTTCCATCTATCTAAATCATTCTTTCAACTGCTCATCCATCTATTCATCTATTCATCTATTCATCTGTTCATCAAATCTTTCATTAATCTGTTATGTTTATCAATCCATGATTACTGTCTATCCATTGTAACTTAACCATCCATCTTATCAATCAATGTCATTCCAATTCCATCCCATCTATTTTTCTTACGTCCATCTATTTGTTCACCCACCTATCCCATCCATCCATTCATTCATCTGTCTATCCATTGACTTATCCCTTTGTTTTACTCATTTCATCCTACTATAGGTCATGGTGGTGATGGATTCATCAAATTCCAAGATGCAGAAGAAATAACAAGTGTTGAGCTTGCAGATGCATTTGAACAAATGTGGCAAAAAAGAAGGTGACTTATTACACTTGAAGTCTTAGGAGTTTCTGTTTATGTTACCCGGATCCTCAATATTCTGCAAACTCGGTATTTTCAAGCTGTACACTCAAATTTGGTTTTTGACTGCCGTGATCAAAAATAATCAAAATACTGGACTGGTGGCAGTGAAAATTTCACATCAACCAATTGAAATGTCGCAGTAATATGATTATGATATTTATATAGCGCTATTTTCCATATGGATATGTTCCAAGGCACAAATGAAAATAACCCAATTGAGATTTGCGCTATACAAATTCAATAAATTATTATTATTTATTATTATTAAGGCACTTTACAATAAAAAATTCAAACATGAACAAAAATCACTTGCAAGTTTGATATACTGGTTTTCAATGTTAATTTGGCCCTCCATCACCCATCACCATCATCCATCATCATCCATTCAGTATTCCATATATAGAGAGAGATCTAAACTCACTTGTTGATTATTATGAATATTTTGTATCACCAGGTACCATGAACTGTTCCTTATTGTGGACAGCTGTCAAGCACACTCAATGACTTTGAAGATCTACTCTCCAAATGTCGTGGGTGTTGGTAGCAGTCTCGTCGGACAAGATTCACTCTCAGTAAGTAACATTCTGTCATCAGCTATAGTTTCTAGTATCATCCTAAGACCTTTCCTTTTCATCAGTCTTTAAGGCCGGCACACACAAGGGAGCTTGCTCCTGCAACACGCTCCCACAACATGCTCCTGGGTGATCCTGGGTAATTTTGCTAGACCAGTACACACGGGGGAGTTAAACGCTGAAACAACCCGATTGGAGCATGGGAACTAGTTATAATTCCAACAAATAAGCCAATTTGATTGGCCAACTGGAGCCAGGTTGTTGAGCGGCAATAAAAGTTTCAGTACACACGAGGGAGCTTGCTCCTGAAACACGATTCTGCAACAGATTTGCTCCTCCATCATATTTAACCATTTTGGTATGAGGGAGCAAAACTCGGGAGCAAAAATTTTGTTGCGCAACTTTTTTTTCTGCGCAACTTTTTTTTCTGCGTGAAATCATTGGTACAGACGAGGGAGCTTTGCTCCGGGAGCATGTTGCGGGATCGTGTTGCGGGAGCAAGCTCCCTTGTTTGTGCCGGCCTTTACCGTACCGACAAGTTTCTGTCCATTTAACAGTTATTTTTTTTCACAATCGTTAATAAATATCAATAATGACTATGGTTTTGATCTTGTTTTCTAGCATCATGATGACCCAGCCATCGGCGTACACGTGATTGACAGGTATACCTATTTTCTACTACAGTTCTTAGAGAGGATCGGACCTGCTAGTAAAGCTACTGTAGGTGAATTGGTGAGTACTGATCTTTGTTACACATGAGGGTCGATATCCGTGTGATAAATCGTACCTATCCCAATCTAGAGGCATAACACTAACATACTAACAAATCACTCATGATTGTAGGTTGCATGGCTGCTACTAGCGCCATAATATGCTTTAACAGTCGTACATGAGAAGACACATGAACATGGATACAACTTAAACAAAGAATCTTATTCTCAAGAAAATGAGACATGGTCTAAAATTGAAAGAACCTTTACACAATAAAAAAGCTTATTCTATTATTTGTTCTTATCTCTGATGGAGTTCCACTGGATTTTGCAGGACTTTTGTACCTGCACGTGCTCGCTAGCTTCCCAACTCTGGGATTCCTGCCACACCACTCTGTCAGTTCACATGAATATATATATGTCTGTGTCTTTTATTTAGTTTGAGTATACGTCGCCAGACCGTGTTATGTCAACTCCTGGGGTACGTACGGACCTCTTTGAGAGAGATGTAGATAAGGTTAGTTATACAGTTAATATGTACGCAATAATAATTTGCATATTTTTACATACATCACATCATATGATGGTGCAAAGCCTCTATTGGATACAATTTAAAAATCTAACAAAAAACATGTTTTGTATTTAGACTCTTCTCACAGATTTCTTTGGCAGCATTCATGAGGTGGAGATTTCAAATGTTTCCAGTGTCGATCTAAAACATGAAGTCATTTGCAGGTATCATCGAGATTGGCCAATACTTCAATCTTTTTTTTTTTGATTTTTATATTTGATTTTTTTCTTCTTATTTGTAGTTCTGGTGATTGTGTATCCAATGAAAACCTGCCGAAAGAACACACTGACACCCGTCAGTTCTGCAATCAATTTCCAATACAAGAAATATTGAAGGTAATATACACCTAATTGAAAAAACGTTGTCAGGTTCGAGAAGGTCATATCATCAAAGCTAAGACCGAAAAGGATTTTGGGTACTCCAAAATGTGTATTATATTTGCATATAGACATGTAAAAATGCACAGTAGAGCAAAGTCGGTCGACCTAGATTATCATGCCAAAGCCATTCTCTGAAGATTTACGCTGGAGAGCTGTTTGGCTGCGGTATTTTATCTTCCCATGCTCCCCTTCGGTCTTAGCTTTGATGATTTAACTTTTTTTTTGAACCTGACAAAATTTTTTCCAATTAGGTATATACTATAATATATTATAATAGTATAATTTCGGACTTGAATATAATGTTCCTCAAGCTGTGATTGATCGAGAGACAAGTGATTTTTCCAAAGTTTTCAGATTGGAAGTAAAATTAAATTGTTTTTCATCTTGAATTTTCTCTGATATTCAAGTCTAAAATTATACCAAAACGATTATTCCCCTCACTCCTCCTTCAGCAAATAATTGTTAAATATCTGATTATTGGAATACATGTACATAAATACACCAGACTCTATGTTTCGGGCACTCCTAGCAGCAGTTAGGCGGACTCGCGAAACGCCGACAAAGCCAAAAATCGAAAGTCGAAAAACATCAGGGGGGGGTGGGTTTTTAGAGGTCGGTAACCCGCCCTACAGGGGGTCTTGCGCGATCGGCCGACACGCGAAATGTGCCTAACTGCTGCTCTGTTGGGGTCGCAAACAGAGGGAAAGATATCCTTTAGATATACATGGCA